GCAGGCCGGGGGTCCATGGGGGCGCCGTGGGGCAGGCCGGGGGTCCAGGGGGCGCCATGGGGCAGGCCGGGGGTCCATGGGGGACAGCCTGTCGGGGTTTAACGGTGACACCGGGGCTTCTCTCCGCAGTGGCTCCACTCCTGGGTCTCCCTGGACAATCCCGACCGGCTCCGCTGCTGGTTCTTCGACGTGAACGTGACGCGGGCGGACGGGCGCCTCCTGCTGGCCATCAGCGCCCTGCAGTCCTGGCACGCCGGGGCCTACCGCTGCGTGGCCGCCAACAGCACCGGCAACGCCACTGCCTCCGCCGAGCTCCGCCTGCACGTGGAGTGTGGGTGGCGCTCGCCCCGGGGCCCCTACGCCCGGGCTGGGGGGCCCTGTCCCCCAGATCCACCCGCTGTCGCTGAGACCTGGCCCTTCGTTACACAAATGAATCTGGGGGACACATGTGTCTGTCTCTTGGGGGGCCATGGGGGGTTACCCCGGTTATATTTGAGCATAACACCCCCCCAATTTGCCCCTTGCCCCCCCAGGCTGGGTGGGAAGAGATGGACGGGGGGGTCACGGGTGCAGCAGGGAGCCCAGAGTGGGGAAATGGCATCAGTTTGGGGGTGCGTCTATGGGGTAGGTGGGAGAGGGGTACAGTGCCCAGCGTGGAGGGGGCAGTTTGATGGGGGGTGTCTGCTCCCCACAGCTAGAAGTGGGGTACAGAGGGAGACCCCAATTGTAACCCTGGGGCAGGAGGGTGGTTAACTCTCCGCCAGCTGGCTGGGTGGGAGGGGTCAAGGATTTCGGGGCGCGGCGCCAGCAGGGCCTGAAGCAATGTGTGTGTGTCCCCCCCCAGATCTGCGGAGCGTCTTCGTGACCCGTGCCCACACGTGGTGCGGGACCGTGGGCGACGCCGTGGCCGTGCTGGAGGGCGAGGACCTGGAGCTGCAGTGCTCGGCCGACGCCTCCCAGCCCCCCCAGTATGAGTGGAGCCGCCAGGTGAGGGGCTGGGCAGACCCCCAAGCAATGGGGGGGATCATACCCCCAAAATATCAAGGATGGATGTGGGGTGTCACACAGTAGACCCAGCAGGAGGTGCCAGCAGGCAGGAAGCGGGGGGGCTCAGGAGGGGGCGCTGTGGGGCAGGGAGTGGGGCGGAGGGTCAGTAGCCGGTGCCATGGGGCAGGGAACGGGGGGCTCAGTAGGGAGCACCGTGGGGCAGGGAGTCAGCAGGGGTGCTGTGGGGCAGGGTCCGGGCTGGAGGGTCAGCAGGGACGCTGTGGGGCAGGGAACGGGGGGCTCAGTAGGGAGCACCGTGGGGCAGGGGGTCAGCAGGGGTGCTGTGGGGCAGGGAGCCGGGGTGGAGGGTCAGCAGGGGGCACTGTGGGGCAGGGGAGCGGGCGGAGGGTCAGCAGGGACGCTGTGGGGCAGGGAACGGGGGGCTCAGTAGGGAGCACCGTGGGGCAGGGGGTCAGCAGGGGTGCCGTGTATGTCCCTGCCCCCTAAGTGGCTGCCCTCGTTGCAGGGGGACGACTGGGTGGTGGCGTCCAGCACGCTGACCCTGCCCCATGTGAGTCGGGAGCAGGCCGGGACCTACGTGTGCCGGGCCCAGCACCCCAGCCTGCCCCACCTGGCGCGCAGCCGGGCCGTGCGGCTGGACGTGGAGGGGGCGCAGAGCAGCTACCGGCTGGGTGAGTTGGGGGGGTCCCCCCGCCACGCCCCCCCCCGCGGGCTCTGTCTCGCCCGCCCCGCGCTGACCCCTCTCTCTGCCCCCAGAGCCGGGCCTGGACCTGAGCCCCCCCATGCTGCTGGTGGCCGTGGGGCTGCCGGCCCTGCTGCTCCTGCTGCTGGTGCTGGCGCTCGGCGTCTTCGTCCTGCGGCGCCGCCAGGCCGCCAAGATCCCGGCCGGGTGAGTCGGGGGGGGCCGGGCGCGGGGTCTGTCCACCAGGGGGCGCCAGGCCAGATCTGCCCATGGGGCCGGGCGCGGGGTCTGTCCACCAGGGGGCGCCAGGCCAGATCCGCCCAAGGGGCTGGGTGCGGGGTCTGTCCACAAGGGGGCGCCGGGACTGATCCGCCCACGGGGCCGGGCACGGGGTCTGTCCACCAGGGGGCGCCGGGACTGATCCGCCCATGGGGCCGGGCGCGGGGTCTGTCCACCAGGGGGCGCCGGGACTGATCCGCCCATGGGGCCGGGTGCGGGGTCTGTCCACCAGGGGGCGCCAGGTCTGATCCAGCCCCATAGCGGGTGCTGGGGGGGACAGGGAATGTGACATGGGGCTGAATCTCCCCATCTCTTCGGGCCCTTTGATTTATTGAATCCCCGGCTGTTGGCGCCCGACTTCGGCGCCTCAGTAGTTCGTGGCGAAGGGACGGGGGGCGATCTGGGGGTTCACGGGGGGGGTTCTTCGCTTTTCATTTCCCCTCCCCCAGCTCGGTCCCAGGAAGATTTGGGGGGCGTGGGGGGGAGCTAATGGGGGTCTCCCCGCAGGGAAGGTGGAATGGGGGATGGGATCCCGGGGGCTGGGTTTGGGGGTGTCACTCACCCGGGCTGTCTGTCCCCCGTTCAGGGAGGAGCCCGGCCAGCGCACCCCGATCTACAAAGGCAGCCTGGAGTCGGTGCCCTCGGCCGCGGGGGACCAGCAGCCCCTGGTGCTGTGAGCTGGGCCCTGCCGCCCGGAACAGGTACGGGATTCGCTCCTCCCATGATCCTTTGGGGACTGCAGCCCCCCCCCACGGGACCCCGATTTCTCACCCCCCCATTGAAATCTCTCTTCTCCCCCCCCCAGGCAGAACCGCACCAGCCGTCGCCGACGAGATTCAGCCACTTCTGTAATCAGCGGGGGGAGGGGCGGGGTTATGGGGGCAGGAAATTATTGGGGGCTCAGCTGCGTTTTCTGAGGGGGGGATTGTTATGGGGCGGTTTCTATACTTCGTTGATGCAGATAGAGCTAGTGGGGGGGGGGAGATGCTCTGGATGGAGGGGGCTGATATCATTATTTTGGGGGTGGGTGGATC